TTGCTCGAAGCAAAGATAACATCTGCTAATTCTTACCTTCTCAAAATCTCGATATAATTTTATGTTATTTAATCAAATTCTTAACTTCTCAATATGTATGAAATTACCATCTGCAGTGACCTTGCGATTTAGCCTTGTTTCCTAAAAGGAAGCTTTATGAGATGAACATTTCACGTTAAGAAAAAAGTACTAGAACAATCAAAGTCCTTGCCTGCGGTGTGAAGATTTTAATGCCATGGTTTTCCCACAAATATTCATCTATATGGATTCTGAACGTACATTAAACCAGTTCTTAAGGTCCATTTTTACTTCTCTATTAATTTAATTAAGGTTAAGGGAGATTTCTGCATTCTTCAGATACTTGAGAAAAGAAAGGAGTACAATGAGACAGTACATCGGCTATTCTTAGACCCCAAGAAAGCCTATGATTCAGTTATGATGGAAGTACTGTACAAGATTTTCAGAGTGTTTAGGGTAACCATGAAACTATAGATAAGCCGATTAAAACGTGTTTAAGCGAAATCGTATAAGTAAATATTTGTCTCATAATTTTCGTCTAGAGAATGGTCTAAAACAGGGAGTGACTTTAACGCCACTGCTTTTCAACTTTGTTTTAGAATATGCTTTAGGATGGTCCAGGAAAACCAGGTGGGGCTGACAACAGGACACATCAGCTGCTGCTCTATGCTGTTGATATGAATGCACTGAGAGATAACATAGATGTCATATAGAAAAACACACAAACTTTAATCGACGTTAGTAAGGAGGTTGGTCTAGAAGTAAACACACAGAAAACTAAGTATCTGTTGCTGTCTCGTCACCAAAATGCAGGGCAAAATCATGACATAAAGATAGGAAACAGATGTTTTGAAAATGTGGCACAGTTCAGATATTTGGGAACGACTATAAAAAATAAAGATCTGATTCAGGAGGAAATTAAGCGGAGATTGAACTCGGGCAATGCTTGCTACCATTCAGTCCAGAACCTTTTGTCTTCTCGTCTGCTGTCCAAAAACATAAAAATTAAAATATACAAAACTATAATTTTGCTCGTAGTTCTGTATGTGTGTGAAACCTGGTCTCTGGCATTAAAGGAGGAACATAGACAGAAGGTGTTTGAGAACAGTGTGCTGAGGAGAATATTTGGACTGAAGAGGGATGAAGAGACAGGAGGTTGGAGAAAACTACATAATGAGGAGCTTCATAACTTTTACTTTTCGCCAAGTATAATTAGAATGATCAAGTCAAGGAGGATGAGATAGGCACGGAATGTAGCACGAATGGGGAGAAGGATAACGTATATAGGATAGTGGTGAGAAACCCAGAAGGAAAAAGATCACTAGAAAGACAAAGACGTATGTGGGTGGATAATATTAAGATGGCTTGATCTGGCTCAAGATAGGGGGAAGTAGAGGGCTCTTGTGAACACGGTAATAAACCTTCGAGTCCCATAAAATGCTGGGAAATTCTTGAGTAGCTGCACAATTAGCGGCTTCTCAAAAAGGGCTCAGCTCCAAGAAGTTAGTTAAAGGAGGTCTCCTATTATAGGTAGGGGCAGGGATTTTTATCCACATCACAGGTTGCAGACCGACCCTGGGCTCCCTGGCTATAGGGCCGGATTTACAGTTATGGGGCCCCTGAGGCATTCAAAATATAGAGGCCTCAATTATTAAAAACTAATTTAGAATATGACTTTTTCTATAATGACTAAAATACAAACTGAGTTTTCGTGAAATTAGAGAAAGAAATGGCTCAGTACAACCGGTGGATATAATTGCTGTTTTGTGGACGCCCCGAGACGACTACCCCAGTCGCCCTCCCTTATATCAGGCCTTTCCAGGCAACTTCCTAACTAATAGGTATCTAGGGCTCTGATTAAGCGCCTAGGGAATGAAGCTGACAACAGCCAATGAATACCATCGAAGGTCGTTGCGTAGCAGTTAGCATTTGTGCTTCGTGCCGCGTTGATCTCTTGTTCGAATGTCAGACAAGCCCGAGCTTCTACTATTCTGACTGAGGTATTTTGAAATACTTCTCGAAAATTGTGCGTTAGGAACTTAAAATGTACTACACAGGAACCTTGAGACGTCAAATATGGATACACGTGAGAAGTACATATGAAAATATTCAGACGGCGTAACTGGTAAGTAGGGTGGAAGAGAGGCAGGGGGTGATGAAGCATAATTAAGGGGTAAGATTATTGTGTTTTGGGACGTCATGCCACGTTCTGCCCTCTCATTCTGAAGGGTTAGGTAGAGGGTTCCTCCAAAATGTTGGTATCTGTTTTTATTTTTTATATTCTTGGGGTAGGGGTGAGACTGAGTCCACTTGGTACGTCCGCCACTGATTGGCCTATTGTACCAGCTCCGGATGACAGATGACGAGTGTAGAGCAGTCGGTGGAATGAGAAATGGCAGGGGAAATCGAAGTGCTCGGAGAAAACCTACCCCAATGCCAATTTGTCCACCACAAATCCCACATGACCTGACCTGGGCTCGAACCCAGGCCGTCGTGGTGGGAAGCCTGCTACTAACCGCCTGAGCTATGGCATGGCCTCGGTATCTGGTTAGACAGGTACAAAATTTTCGGGAGATTCTAGTGCCTCTATTTTCGGACTACTGTCATGAAAACTGATCCAGCAAGTTCCACCGAAACTCTAGTAAAGATCTACCAGACTGCTTGGGGCCACTTCCAGAAGACACTAAATTTGAAATTAAACTCTCTCTTCTATGCTGACGTTCTCAAAATAGCGACGTGACGTCGTATAGTCCAGTAGAAGTCCAGTGACGTTTCGTATGAAAGTACTGACTCCATCTTCAGAGTAGAATATTTTAAGCAGGTATTTTGCTCGTTATCTGTTGGACATACTCTTCGACCCTGAAGACACAGGCAAGAAGGTAAATTACCAGATTACACGGCATCATATCCCAGATCAAGCAGTCTTTTTCTTATATCTTAGTTGCCTTCAAATTACAGATGTGCACACATGCGAAAGCGCGGGACGTGGAACCAGGATTGGTTACCACGGCAACGAATAAATAAGAGACGATGAGAACTGTTTAGACACGCGTGGCACTGTGAGACTCGTGTCAATCCTGGTCACCTTCTGTGGCGAAACAAACCCGATTACACGACATTCGAGTTTATTTCCCACGTTACATTCCAATTCCGCAGAGAAATTACAGATTTCCGAAACACACAAGCTCTGTGACAGCAGATTCATAAGGTTCAACAACGCCAATACTAAACCTGCTATTACAACAGATCCTAAACCAATAACATCTAAACTAACAGACTTCGCGGAGCTGAGCCCTTCTTGAGAAGTCACCCATTGCGCAACTATGCAAGAACTTCACAGCATTTTATGGAGTTCGAAGGTTCATTACCGTGTTCACAAGAGCTCTGCACTGGTCCATATTTTAAGCCAGTTAAATCCAGTCCATATCACACAATCCTCCTCTCTAAGATCCATTTTAATATTATCCACCCACCTAAGTTCTTGTTATTCTTAGTGGTCTCTTTCCTTCTGGCTTTCCTACAAATATCCTACACGCATTCCTCTTTTCCAAATTCGTGCTACAAATCCTGCCAATCTCATCTTCCTTGACTTGATTATTATAATTATACTTGACGAAGAGTCCAAGTCATGAAGCTCCTTATTATGCAGTTTACAATAATGCCTACCTCCCATAATTCGATAATAGTTGGTCAGCGAGTCAAGATATTCCCGACACTTTATGGAAGCCCTCTGTTTGCCCTTACCGCTTTTACAGTTTTATAATTTCAGAATCCTATACGCTCTCGGTACGACTCCTTGGACGGGGGTTCAGCCAGGCGCAAGGCCCTCACGTACACACAGAAGGGCATAAACACAGACATCTATACCTCGAATAGGATTGGAACCCAGGACCCCAGTGTTTGAGCGGACGAAGACCGTTCATGCCTTAGACCGTGCGGCCACCGTGATCGGGCCAGAGGTTCATTACCGCATACAAAAGAGCATAATACTGGTCCCTACCCTGAACCAAATCAATACAGACTACATCCTTTCCTATTCCTTTGAAATTCATTTTAATATTATCTTCTTATCTGCGTCTAGGTCAACCTAGAGATCTCTTTCCTTCAGTTTCTGTAAAGCCTTTACACAAAACAATCAATAGTACAGGGTGATTCAAAAACGTATTGCGAAATTTTAGAAACACCATTAGCAGATAGCGTAGTTGGTTGAGGCACAATGCTACAAGCCAGAGGGTCGCTAGTTCGATTCCCTATGAGGTCATTTGAATTTTCAATTGACCTAATTCTTGCAACCGCACTATGGCCCTATGATCGACTCAGACTCTAACAGAAATGAGTACCAGGGGTCTTCCTAGGGGGTAAATGGCGGTTGGAGCGTAAGGCTGATAACCTCACCATTTGTTAGCTGATTGTCTAGAAAATGTGGGAGCCTCGGCGTCTCACAACCCTATGGGCCTCCAAGGCCTGTTACAGGGATAGCTTTACCTTCTTATATGAAAACAAAATTTGTCCGAATAGCAAGGGACTGGAAAGTTCTGCACTAGCCGCAGTGTTGCCACCCTGCCCATACATGGAGAGAAGTGATGATTGATAACATTAATCATTAACGGTCGTGATCAACGAAACTAGAGCCAAGCATATTGGTTATTAAAGTAGAAGGCAGTAAAAATGGGGAGTGGTTATGTGTTCAATGGGGGCACTGAAAACAGTGAATATGTGGAACAGTTAATGCAGATTAGGGGAAATTATTTTACATATCCCCCCTCTTTCAAATCGCCCTCCCTCCCATCGGTGGAATTGTATGACTTCCAAGTTAACTTGGAGAATTAGTTCTCTCTCTCGTGAACATCTGAAAGAGTGGGGAGAGGAGAAGTTGGAGGGAGGGGAGGAGGGAATGTTACAAAATAAGGAAAATCCCTTAATGAGTTCACACAACTATGTTCAGTTGCCCTGCTTTTGATATAAATACACAGGTATCCATGTTCTTTCTCACTAGATTCTCTGCGTACATCAAGTGGAAGACGGCATTTGAATATTCTGTGCTCGAGAAATTTGTAAAAAATTATTTTCATCATGAACATGGTAAGTGGTTTTAATCTAAAGTGTTGCAAGGGCAGTTCATTTTTTTTCTTATTTCAAATATGAATGAGAAAATCTGCCTTTATGCTAAGCTAATCAATCTTGTAGTGTTGCGTTCCGTGCGTGATACAAACAAAATGGAACGGTTCCTGTCACACAGAAGTTCCTTATTTAACAATTCACAACATTTACATACACCATTTGTCAGTTCCCTCATGAATCACCTGATGATGGCCTACATGGCCGAAATTTACTGTTTCTCTAACAACTCCTGCTCTTCCATTTGTTAAGCCAATCACTAACAAGTGAGCTTCTACAATGACCCTTCAGTACATCTATGGGCCCATATTTGTTATTGCCTAATATGTGAATTACGAGCCGGGATAGCGCACTTGGTATAGCGACTGGCTACTGGCTGGTCGATCGAGGGGTCGAAGTTCGAGTCGCGGTAGGGTCAAGAATTTTATCTTCCCCGCAGCGTCCAGACCGGCTCTAAGGCTCATGTAACCTCCTATCCAATGGGTACCGGGAGCCCTTTCACCCGGTGATAATACAGCCGGAGCGTGAAGCTGACCACTCACCAATCAGTGTTGAGGTCACGAAAACCTGGGTCTGTACATCCACTCCCCCGTACGTCTTCATGGCATAGTGCTTAATTAGTTAAGCACAGGGACAACTTTACCTTTATGTCTGAATTTTTATATGCAAACATTTATAAAATGAAACATTCTTTGACGAGGGATACGTGCATTAAAACCGCCATATTTATTCTGAAATTATTGAATACGACGTATACATTAACACTAGGTTACCATGTTCTAAGTTTCAATACATATAATTATTTGCGCATCGTTTTTCCAACACGACATTTCGGAAACTAGATTTATTTCTGTCGTCATTTATAAGAAAACAAAGGTTCCTTCTCGGCTGTGCCCCTCAGATCTAGCGTAAATCCCAGGGCATCCATTTTGATTTCAGTTTGCTGCTGTTGCTGTACTAGTATCGGCGATTGGCACCGCGATGCCAGCGCCACAAGGTCCCCCTCCAGGAAGGAATTTTTCTCCGAGGTTCCTGCCCCTTACTCCTCAGGGTTACGTCCCCATTGTCAGCTCAAACTTCGATCTGAACCCCATTGACAACTCCTACAATTTCAAGTAAGTACATGAGTTCAACACACGCTACAACAAAAGCTGCTGAAAAATACTGTCTTCTGGAATGTGATGGAAGAGTGTACTACATCCACTATCTTGTTCGCAGTGCAAACCGAACGACTCATCAAGCAACATTTTCTTTTGCTTACTCGGCAAACCCTGAAGTTGGAGGCAGTGCAGAGAACTTACACAAGAGTACTGCCTTCACATCTCGGAAAGCAATACTCTTCATAATGACGGCTGTGCCGGAGCCAAGTATCTCAAAAACGCCAATGAAATCCATAACAATTGATTCTTCCACCGCAAATATTATTGCTGAGCAGTTAATTTTACCATGTACTCCTCTCAAATGGGCACAGGGTATAAAGCGGCTGGGGTGTGAAGCTGATCACTCACTTCCAACCGGTGCCGAGGTCAAGAAAATGTGCATCTATACATGCATTCCAACATACGTCTTCATGGTGTGGTGCTTAATTAGTTAAGCACAGGCACAACTTTACTTTTTACTGCGCAGAATCATAAATAATAAAGTATATAAATACATTTTATATAAGGATATTTGATTACGCAGAAGAACGAAAATGCGTGCTACAGATCTACTTTATTTGGAATAATCCATGGCTTACATGCATACGTGTAAAATGAACTTTCCATTTTGAGTGCATTAGTGTTGGAGACAAGCCGCAATACTGAGGGGGCAGAGGGGGGGAACATCAGAAACCAAAATACCGACGAGCCTGTATATACCTAAGGGTGTTCAAGGGAAGTGGGATTGAGAAAATTTCACGGCGAAGAGCATTGCAATATGAACTCTTCACACCGCATTTTAGGGAAGCTTAAATCGAGGTGATTCCGTTGGTCATTAGGCACTCACTCACAGAACTGAGCCCTTCTTGAGAAGCTGCCAGTTGTGCAGCTACTCAAGAACTTACCAGCATTTTATTGAACCCAAAGATTCATAACCGTGTTCACAAGAACACTCCAGTGGTCCCTATCCTATCACGTTAACTTGGTTGGATAATATTAAAATTGATTATAAGGAAACAGCGGGCGTGTATAGCTCAGTCGGTACTGCGACCAGGCTACGGGCCCAGGAAAGAGGTTAAATTCTCCGCAGGAAAAGAAACTTCTCTCTTCTTCGACGTGTCTAGAACGGTTATGAAGTCACAAGTTCCCTGTGTAATAGGTATCGTGGGGGGGGGGGCACGCGGTAGCGTAGCTGGTTTAGGCACTATGCTACAAGCCGGAAGTTCGCGGGTTCGAGTCCCGATGAGGTGGCTTTTTCAATTGACCTAATCCTTCCAGCCGCACTATGGCCCTAGAGTCGACTCAGCCTCTAACAGAAATGAGTACCGGGAATCTTCTTGGGGGTAAAGGGCGGCCGGCGTGTAAGGCTAACCTCACCGCCATCTGTGAGCCGACTGTCTAGAAACTCTGGAAGCCTCGACTTCTCACAACCCTCTGGGCCTCAATGGCCTCTTATAGGGAGATCTTCTACAGAGTTCACGGAGACAAACAAAATAATTTGGCGAAAATCGTTCACAGCATATGTATGCTTAGCGTCTCAAAAAGCGTGTACAGTTCTGAACAACAGATGTGAAGTATTGGATTAACAAACATAAACATGAATATTGTATTCAGGTCCATTAGGATTTATACTTTGGGGTGCCTGAATTTGACTCCCTGGTCCTAGGCTCTGGCATCCCGCTTAGATTACTGTTCCTGTAATATGATATTATCTGTCGTACATTGGCATGTTAACGTACACATCTCCTAGCTTCCCCTACTGATTACTGGTCATTTCAATACTGTCATGTGATTGTGTGACTATAGGCGGGGTTTGGATTGATAATTGACTTTACTTAACACTTACGAATAACTACAGCGCTACTGATAATTCACTACAGCATGCACTAAGTCTTCTTAGTCTGCTGCGTCTTCATCAGTCGTTGCTTAGTAACAGTTTCAATAGCGGACGTTCCCTTACTCTGGGTTCCCGAACTATCCCCGTATCTATATTCCTAAAACGACCACCTCTGTGGTCTAGTGCTCAGAGTTCCTGGCTACAGGTCCAGAGGTCCTGGGTTAGATTCCCGGCGCTACCATCTTTTCTGAGAAGTAGTGGGTCTGGAAAGGGGTCCACTCAGCCTCGTGGGGATAATTGAGGAGCTATTTCAAGGAAATAGCGGCTTCGGTCTAGAAAACCGAAATTAATGGCCTTAGGGATTCGATGCACTGCCCACGCGACACCCTCTATCCGCTAAAGTTGGCGTTAACTTCGCCGACAAGCGGAGATCGCTCGTTCGGTATAGTTCGCTTGAGAACTACAGGCCACGGAGTATTTTTATTCCTAAAACACTTGCCTAAAATCACGTCCCCCCAAATATTTGTTCCTTCGCTCCTCAATATATGGTTCCAATCTCCTTCTTTGCTATATATGGTAAAACTCTCCTGCCCAATGTCTCTGCTAACCCCCTCAAGTCTCCAATCTTCCATTCGCCACCACGCGCTTCCTCGTCTGCCTCGCCCCTCTTGCCCCTTCAACCAGAAAATTGTTACCGCAGATCCTTCTCGTCGTAAATTCCACATTTTGCCTTTCTATATCGATACATCGTTCCGGACCGGCTTCACACTGCTGGAAGCTACCATCAGTTCGTGACTAACCGCGATAGACAATAAATACATAAGTGATACCTCCGTCTCCCTGACAATGCATTAATGATCATGGCATTTGGCAGCAAGTTCGTGCACGTATGTCATTATGCAAAGCGCTGCATTCGGTTAATTCGGGATTATAAATTACTGTTTGTTAGCAGAAGCGTTTGGGGGGCCAGCAATACGCAATTACGCTAGTCAACAAGGTTATTACGGCAACATAAAAGGGAATTTGTTGTTGTGAGGCGCCGGAAATATGCGCGATCAGAGGCCTCATACATTGTACATTTCTGAATTTTATTTATATAAATTTCGTAGGATTCCTTGGATTGGAGGATCCGAGATAACTCTGTCGGTATAGCGACTGGTTACGGGCTGGACTACCGAGGGGACGGAGTTCGAATCCCGGTATGTTCAAGAATTTTTTCTTCTCCACGTCGTCCAGACTGGCCATGGGGCCCACCTAGTCCCCTATCTAATGGGTACCGGGGGCTATTTCCTCGGCGGTAAAGCGGCCGGAGCGTGAAGCTGACCACTTACTTCCAACTAGTGCCGAGGTCAAGAAATTATGAATCTATACATCCATTCCCCCATATGCCTTCATTGCGAAGTGATTAATTAAGTACAAGGAAAACTTTACCTTTACCCTCCTTGGATTGAGGATCGGCTCGTCATAATACCTTTATCTACACACGTCAGAGTTTTGTGTACAGAATTTCTAGTCAACACTGGCAGTTTTGTAATGAGGAGCATATCTTGTGCTCTTCGTTAAATATAATTAGAATGATCAAATCAAGGAGATTGAGATTAGATTATAGAACGAAGAAATTGAGTCAGATAGGCTGGATGTGTAGCACGTATGGATGATTAGAAATGCACAGAAAGATTTCGTAGCAAGACCAGAAACAAAGAATTAACGAAGGTCTCTGAAGGCTCCCAGAGCCGTCAAAGAGTTAAATATGGTCATGAGTCCCGTGGGACACGGAACCAAGAAACATTGTGCTGGCGAGGACCAGCAGCAATTTACCAGTCAGTCCGAAAGGAAGAAGCTAGTTGCAGGACCCAGAATTAAATGGAAAGATAATGACAGTGCATTTTAAAGAAATAGTACTTAGTGGGCTAGGGTAGCATTTACGCTTTAGACTTCAATTCGGAAGGTTCTAGGTTAGAATCTTCTATGGGACACAATCGACCAAGGCGTAGGTGAGTGGACAATATTAAAATGGATCTTAGAGAGATAGGATGGGATGATATGGATTGGATTGGTCTGGCTCAGGATAGGAACCAGTGGAGAGCTCTTGTGAACACGGTAATAAACCTTTGAGTTCCATAAAATGCTGGGAAATTCTTTGTGCAGCTCCTCCAGAAGGGCACAGCTCCATGAAGTTAGTAAATGGGACACAATCAACGTGACAGATTTTCGTGATTGTCCTCAATCACGCCGGATAGATTTTCGGGATACTCCAATTAGACCATGATCACTTCCTTCCCAATCCTTTCAAATTCATCATTCATCATACCAGTCAGTGCTATATAATCTGAGCTGCTGACAGTGACATAAAATATCGCAGAAAAAATAAGGACTGGAGTGGATTGATCTGGCTCGGGATAGGAACCAGTGGCGAGCTTCTGTGCCCACGGTAATGAACCTTCGACTTTAGTAAGTGTGTTGTAATTCCTTGAGTAGCTGAGCTGCTATCAGCTTCTCAAGAAAGACTCTAGTCCCACATTTCAAAATGTTACGTGTGCAAGGCAGACTGACAGAAGCCTGGGGCGGGGGGCAGAAATCCGTGTTTTGACGGCCATGATGTGATTGAAGGGTCCGAAGGCAATTAGAGGAGACCTGCACGTGGGAACTTCCTTTGTTGAATTCGTGATGTGACCATCCTCAAGTAATAAAATGTTGCGCTTTCAAATTCCCGCAAAAACTGCCACATTGCGCAAGATTCGGCGCTCAGCTATTAGGGTCTTTGCTGACGTCTCAATTATAGAGATTCGTTACTTCAAATTATTCTTCGGAAATTAACGCATTAAGGCGCAGTGGTTACTGCATGCTCATCTGATCTGACATCAAAATATCTCTCATTACATCTTTCTAGGGCTCTACAGCCCTCTGATGGACCTTGGCCGCTTTTTCAGTTTCTTAATCCTATACACAGACGGTAGGACTCCTTTGACGGAGGATCAGCCCGTCGCAAGGTCGCTCCCTGCACACAGAACAACATAAAAACAGAATAAACGCACACACAGACATCCATGCCTTGAGTGGGTTTCGAATCCACAATCCTAGTGTTCGAGCGAGTGAAGACGGTTCATGCTTTAGACCGCGGGGCCACTGTGATGGGCTCTCATTATATCCACAAACTGTACCTACTAGTTTTGACGCGCATTCAGCATATCTGAAGAGTTCTAGTTTCTGGGATATAGCGCGTGTGGTCCATTGAAAGCCAACCGACGTTTCGGAGGATCATTAAGAATCTGCTGCCTAGCAATGGGAACGTGTCTACCGAGCCGTTGTCCACAAACGGTCGGTGTTTAGAGGGTCACAGCTTAGCAACGGCTCTATAAGCCATAATAAGTTCTGATGAAGAAACACTGCATTAATTCTGATTGCAGCTACGTGAGCGGCGACGGCAGCGAGCGTCACGAGGTTGGTGTGCTCGAGAACCCTGGGACGCCGGTGGAAGGCGTCGCCGTACAAGGTTCCTACTCCTACGCCGCACCCGATGGAACTCCTGTCACCCTCGATTATGTGGCCGACAATTTCGGATACCAGCCCGTCGGCCCTAACATCCACCCCGCAATCATCAGGGCGGTGCAGCAACAGGTCGCAGAGGCTAGAGTGGGTGCAGGGGCGCCCCCCTTCCGCAACAACTTCTAGACGCATATTAAACTGAAGGTTTGGCAACTTGCTCCAGTAGGCACGGCACTCCATACGGAAGAATTTGATGAAATTTTGTCTTTTCATTATTCCCAGCTATAAGACACTTGTTTACAGTGATGGTTCCTATATTTGCACTGGGTTCGAACTGCGATACATGTACAAACTTCTAATCTTTCACCCATTTTACGACACGTATTTTATTCTATGATGCACTACATCTAAAAAAAGTTGCCTAACGTTAAAATCAAGGCTTTCGCTAAAGAAAACATGTAGCACATTACTTAAGGCACTATATGAATACAATTGTTGTATTCCAGAAACTAGTGTAAATTATTAATTATACCACATCCTTAGCGGGGTAGCTGAAATGTGCTCGCGGACCGGAACCGGACTACGTCTCACAGTTTGAAGAACAATAATTTACTATACAAGGAATAAGTGTTTCTAGGTATAGAAAATTAACACGCCATACTCTTTATTAGCATTTGAGACGAAGCTGGGCATGGCACTTCGTGATTTTAAATTATTCAAAAGCTCACAGACGCCTCAATCGTAATATATCGCGCCGTAACAAACTGTACTAAACTATATGGGATTTTACGAATTAGAATATCGTTTTTCGTTAAGATATTGCCCATATCTCCATTACAAATAAAACATATGCGACCAGGAAAAGAAGCCAATGGATCGACCACCTGCAATTCTTCCTCAAACTATTATTATTATTACGAAATAATTTGTTTCGTGTAAGAGTCTAGGAGATTCGTGATGGTTTTAATATCGGTAATTAATTCGCAAAAAGAGTAATTATGATACACAAGAGGAAAAACGTCTGTAACATGAATGCTGGAGGATATGATAAAACAAATAACAGTAGCTCGCCCATGCTTTTATTAAATATGTAAATTGTATTCGTTTCAAATATAATAATATTTATAATAATGTTTCTCTAAACTTGCAATGGCTTCTTTTGTAACGATAAACATCCTCTTAAAATGGTACGTATTTATCACCGAAACGAGTAGGGTAAAATTAATTTAACGTAGAGTATATTGAAATATAATGTAATTATGTACTTTGATGTTCTACTGCCTTCATAATTAAACGTATAAATTTAACAGACGGATCATAATAGGCCAGAAACTATGATTTTTCTTAACACACAATAGAATTTTTCCACCTAAATTCAGCCCTTCGCCAAATAGTAAAGATATCAAATACAATAAAGTTATTTTTGTTAAGAATTTTTAACAATAAATTCCTTATAAGTTTATTTCATAATGTTTCTATATAATATATTATTGTATAAAAAGCTAAAATCCTGTAAATAAGTTTATATTTTATCTTTAACACATACAAAGTATCTTACGTAATGTTGTAATTATTTTATACTATTTACAATTGTAGTGTTTTAATTCTAGTGAATTTACTAATAAAAACTGCATAAATGCATCTATATCATGCACTGAGAGACATGTGACGGTCTCAAAAGACCTTCCCTTATACAAATATTGGGGTTCTTATTCTGTCTTCTGAGAGCAATAGTAGATGAAATGGCTGTCATCAGATTCGTAACCTGATATGTACAGAGGATATCTGTTAATACAGATCAGAACCGTAGTTTGCTGCTGGTCCTCGCCAGTAGAGTTATTCTCGGTTTGGGCCCCTTTGGGACTAACGACCATATTTTGTTCGTTCCAAGACCACTTACGTGTTCTGAAAGCCCGATTTTACGAGATCTTTATGAACTCATTCTTTCATTCAACACATGTTGCTCTTTCTTCATTTATCGCTCAATTTTTGCATTAATACTAGTATCTCAGACTTTTACCAATTGTTACAGTTTTATAGAAATTGTTGTCACCTTTAGCGCCCTGTTGCCTGAACTACAACACTGTTACCGTGTACAAGCTACAGATATCTCCCACAAGATGGCGTGAATGTATGGCTTGATATCCAGCAGAAATACGTTTCTAAACGGTTCAGCTGCTCTGCAAGTTCAGGCATCTTCACAGTGAACAGTGTTGTACGTAAGTAATAGGCTCTGTTGTACATTTATTTTTATAATGTTGGTTTTACTAAGAAATTAAGAGAAAATTAGATCTCAACGTGATCGTGGACTATTTGAGGTACTCACTTAATATCAGCCTGCGGTGACTGAGGAAAATTATGAAATTTTCAGGATGATCGGTGTCGTATCGAAATTTGAATCCTGGGCGTCCTGAATACGGAGAAGGAAGCGTGACCAGTTTACAGTGAAATGGGTTAGGATAGTTTTATCAGAGATTTTCGTAGTTCGTCTGTTAATGACAAGGGCCAGCAATACCCAGGCCCAGCAACCGTGGGAAATGGAGGTATGGGAGGCATTGACGTAGGACGCAATTGTAATTTGATGAATTATTGGGTCATTGTCTCTGAAGCACAAACTCAAACCACAAAATATTTGTATGTCACTGGTACATACGTCATCAGACTGCTCGTCACACAATGATAAATCACGTTTTATTCTCCAATTCGATCCTAGGTCAGGGCGCAATGAATTAGTAAGTAAAAGCATTAAATTATGGTGTGTTCTCACAAACAGATATTCTGTTATATAGGTCATTTTAAGGTCTCTGGTACTTACTTTTCTTTACGATTCTCCTCTTTATGTAGGACGTGCTAATCCTGAGCTGAATGCAAGCTACCAGTTTCACGATGGTTTCGTACAGCCCTCCATTTTGATGTATAACTATAATCAATCTCTGTTCTAGACAGTGTACGTGCTATGAAAGCACGTGACGTGGGTCCGCGCAGTTCTGTGCGCAGCTGTTCTGCTTCACGCTGTACCTCGCATGCGCAGATGCGAAGCCCGAGCCACTTCAATCTACTTCTTAACTTTATAACTCATTTCTTAAAAGCCATTTGAGTTATCATCTTCTCTTATCTGTCTTTCTTCCCTCTCCGGGTGACTGTATCTGAAGATATTATCCAAACATACTTCCATACTCACGTCATGTTTCTTAGGTTTAACAAACCTTAAATTTATCGTAATCTCCTAAGTTCATGACAGGACACGCAAATGAACCGCTATGATTTTCGTTATGTCACTGAATTATAGTAAACATTTCCGTAGTATGTTATTTTGGTTAAAATGAACTAAAAGGCGCCAAAGTATGTGTTTCTATGAACGTAACCTATCATAACCTAACCTAAACCTAATATGTAAATGGAAATACATATACACTAGTCTCTAACGCAGACAGAATTAGTATTACATTTCACTGATCTTTTTTTCTACAAATATTTCTGTTATGCTGGTCTAAAATAGCATGGATTGTCCATCATACGGAGATGTCCGATATATTTAACATCTTCATCGTTTATACTCGTATGTTTAAAAATATATTTTCTTTATTGCTAGTGGGGTGGGACTAAGTCCCATGTACTGCGGCCACTTCTGGCCTATTGTACCAGCCCCAGATGATAGGTGAGGGTGATTGTGGAGCAATTAGTGGAATGAAGATTGGCAGGGGAAACCTAAGCACTCGCAGAAAACCTGCCCCAGCACTTTGTCCACCACAAATCCCACTTGACTGAACCCGGACTGCCCCGGTTGGAAGCCAGCAACTAACCGTTTGAGCTATGGCGCGGCCCCCAAAAAATATATTTAATAGCACCTAAATATTCTAATTTGTCACCAGGGTATGGATAACGAATTTAATTTAAAATAGGATCCAGTAATTCCATATTGACGAGAAAAGGATCCACGTAATTATCTGATAGTAACGTCTATTCAAAAACGTTTTCGGACAAAGTTTATTGTTTCTTTTCGAAAACTTTTAATTAACGTTCTTCCTTCAATGTGAAGGACAAAATTTCATATGTATGCAAAATAAAACTTAACTTACAATTTTACATACATTATTAAAATTTTCTTAGTTAGATGCTAAGATATTTATCACGTGAATAATTCCTTGAAGTAATTTTTTCCTGATCTGGCAGTAAAGATTTTTTTTTGTTTTGTTATTACCATTTCCACATATTTCAGTTTAGAAAGATGTTGAAACAATTCATTAGCCGTTGTTATGTTAGGCATAACTCGATGATTTACGTAGATACTGGATAAACGTTATGTACAGTCTTCTGTCGTGTGAATGAAACGTATGAAACAAGATACATGAGATCCCAGGACGCCATATTTCCAGGCATTTCTAATGTAGGCCTCCGTATCCAAAGACCCGTGACTTTCTCGATGAGTAGATAGCATTGTTGCATTGCAAATTTCGGTCAAGGTAGGTGAAACCGATTTATGAATTTTAATGTTTAAGAACAATGAACGGAATGCAGTAGATCACACTCGCGTTTTTATGCCTCTTTACCCACTTTTATAAAACTGCTTATCAACTACACAGTTTAGAGCTGAATTGAATATCCGCTCTATCTGTACACGCTTACATACTTACTTATGGAGCTGAGCCCTTCTTGAGGAGAAGCCAAATCTGCAGCTGCTCAAGAATTTCTCTGCATTTTATGGAACCCGAAGGTTCATTAGAACCCGTGTTCACAAGAGCTTTCCACTGGTCCCTATCCTGAGCCACATCAATCCAATCCATACCATCCCACCCTATCTCTCTAATATCCAAATATAAATCACTCCGTCCAATGTGACCTATAAGTTTTTTACTACATGAAAACTTAACACCCTTACATGTTTCGGTCTCTGTGGACCATCTTCAGAGGGCAAACATCACTACAAATAGGAAACCACCATCACATAAGTTGTTTAGACGTAAAGTACGTACACTTATATGCTACAATGCATAGTACACAAAATAGAACATTTCACAAACACAGCATGTTCTATTTTGTGTACTATGCATTGTAGCATATAAGTGTACGTACTTTACGTCTAAACAACTTATGTGATGGTGGTTTCCTATTTGTAGTGATGTTTGCCCTCTGAAGATGGTCCACAGAGACCGAAACATGTAAGGGTGTTAAGTTTTCATGTAGTAAAAAACTTACAGGTCACATTGGACGGAGTGATTTATATTTGTAATTGTTAGTGTGACGGACCGGAATGAAACAAATCAAACTTCCCTAAGATCCATTTTAATATTATCCACTCACTTACGCCTTGGTCATCTCAGTGGCCTCTTTGGTTCCGGCTTTCCCACCAATATCCTATACGAATTCCTCGTCTCTCCCATTCGCGCTACATGTCATGCCCACGTTATCCTCCTTTATGAGATGTAATAAAATTTATATATATACAAATATTATGTTTCTGGACAGTATCCATCGTTCTGTACATATTTAAAACATATAACGTTTCGGAGACTGGATTGTGTCCCTTTTCAGGTAAAGCGCACTCAGTTAGGCCAAACTGAGAGAGCTATACCAGCACTAACATAGAGTATATGAGCCAAGCACAGCATAAACCATCTGTAAGAGTTAAGACAAAACATTAATATATTGGAAAATTCTATACGTGTGATGCTTTGCACCAGAAAACTATCAAGATAGAAATCACCACTGGAGAAAGGAAATTCTCCGTGTGGTACCAACACAAGAGACAAATTTTCCTACTTAATCTACAATGGAAGAAGTTATAGTTTCATTGTTACTTCTGCTGTGATAATGGAAGTCCAAATCCGAGAGCTTTATAAAGTTCGTACGTCATTCTATACCCTACCAATACTGGTCTTAAAACAGATAAGAACATCGTGGACCTCGCCATGAATGTGTTTTGTCTGTTTCAATGAAATTCAGTATGATATTGCAAACAGCCAGGTTCTTAGTTAGAGACAAAGACCCAAACTTGAATACTGAGGATGTGATAAAGCGATGCTTGGTCGGGACTGCTGCAGTCTTCAGGAGGAGCTCACAGATGGATGTGAGCAATGGTGAAATGATGATTAACTGGAGAGAAAAGAGGAAACTCGCAGAAGAACGTGCTCAAGCAGAAGTCAGCAGAACATTGCACTTGGGCTTCCAGGCGCACTGACGTGTATATACGGACACACAAAACAGTCTTCAATGTGGTTTCACAGAGTATTCGTCCAACCACCACTTTGTCCCTGCTATCATGCAAATTCAACGACATGTTTCGGCCACGCAGGGCTATCACCAGGTGAACATGATGATTTGCCTAAATTCTTACATTGTATTGCAGTATTATGTTGTCCCTGTGTTTCATTAATTAAACACTGTGACATGAAGGCGTATGGGGGAGTGGAGCTACAGCTTCATTATTCTTGACCTCGGTTCTAGATGGAGGTGAGCGGTGAGCTTCACTCCTTGGGGGAAGAGCCCCGGGTATCCATTGGAGAGGATCTTGGGTGAGCTTTAGAGCGGGTGTGG